TTTTCCGGTGGCTTCCAAAAGGAGAAATCAGTACTCGTCGTTCTCGATTTTTCAAAGGCATATATGATACAGTCTGGAGAGAACGCCTACTCCACACCCTCCTAGACAGAGGTATCCCAGTCCACCATAAATGCTAACTGTCTCCGATCAAGAGAGAAGGCCGTGCGAATGAACAACGACCACCCTCGACGAATTGCGGCAACGGAACAAGTGCACAGACGCCTAAAGAGATGCAGAGATTTCCGAAAAATGGCCGAAGATGTCAGCAAAAAGAGCCCACATCTGTTCTACTGCGAGAGGAGGCCCATCATTTACTTCGAAACCAGGCCCTGGGGACGGGAAATCAACCCCGCATCGCTTTCCCCACCTGCACGGCATAAGCGGAATGAGTGACTTAAGTGGGAAGATTCAAAGCGCTGCTGTTCGTCGAGAACGAGAGCATGGCGCACAGTACAATATCTACACTGACGGCTCGGCTAGGGCAGGAACAACGGACGGCGGCGCTAGAGTCGTCATCACAACGGGGGACCCGTCCAACCCTGCCGTTGTCCAGACGTTGAGGGAGAAAGGCGCCATATTCACGTGCTCTTTCGAGGAAGAAAAGAGAGCCTTGGAAATGGCTCTTGACTGGATTGACAACGAGTGCGATGCATCCAACTCGGTCACTGTCGCACTAGTGGGGACATCACAATCCCTCGACCAAATGCGACTACGCATAAATAATGCAACACCTCAACCCACGATTCAGTGGATCCCTGTTCACTGCGATATCCTCGGCAGCGATCTCGCAGACAGTAATGCCAAACTGGCAACAGCGCTGCCGGGTCCAGGCCGCCAAATTACTTATGAAAGTGCGTGCGCCCAGATAAAACTCATCACAAAAGACCCCCGATATCCCACACGCGGACGAAAGAAATATACAGGACAATTTCCTTAAAACGAGAGGCTCATATTAAGTCCCGCAGTGACCAGTCATTACTGGCAAAAATCAGAACCGGTCACTTCTTTGGGCTGCGGGCCTACAATAAAAGAAGAGACGAAACATTTGACCGAATCTGTCCATTGTGCAGCGAGGAACCCCAAGATTTGAAGCACTGGCTGCAGAGATGCCCTGCCGAGGTGGTCCGGCTGTGGTATCTCTTTTGGGAGGATTCAGGGAGGTTGGGCTGTCTCACCCGCTACCCAAGAGAGTCGGTGGCCCTGGCGAAGAGCACGCTCTTAGGGGCTCCAAACATTTCGAACAGATAGGCAAACTCACACACACGCACCCCCTCCAACAACAACAATAACATCAGCAACAACAACATCATCACCACGACCATCACAACAACCACCACCAACAACAACAACATCATCACCACCACCACCACCACCACCACCTCCACCACCACCATCAACAACAACAACAGCAACAGCAACAACAACAGCAACAACAACAACATCTCCACCATCTCCACCATCAACAACAACATCATCACCACTACCATCACTACAACCACCACCAACAACAACAACAACATCACCACCAACAACAACAACAACAACATCACCACCACTATCACCATCACCACCACCAATAACAACAACAACAACAGCAACAATGCCTCACCCGCTACCCAAGAGAGGCGATGGCCCTGGCGAAGAGCACGCTCTTCGGGGCCCCAAACATTTCGAACGGATAGGCTACCACACACACACAACAGCAACAACAACATCACCACCACCATCACTACCACC